GACCAAATTCCCTCGTTGTTTTCCTCACACGTTTTGCCTTTTCTCCTAAGCAGGGTTCCCAAAAAGAGCCATAACGACCCACCGCCTCCCGAGCCCCGCCGTGCGCCCGGGCGCTGCTCAGCTGCAGAGCAGGAGGGGGTCAGGCCTGCAGCCGGGACCAAGAGTTCGCCCAGGAGAACGTCCCTCGTGCTGCGGAGCGACGGGAGCGCCGTGCCCGGCAGGAGCAGCGCAGGGGCTGCGACAGGGCGCTGGGGGTTCCTCCATCGCTGCCCGCGAGCAGAGGGGCTGTGCAAGGCCCAAACCGCCAGCCTGGGCTCTGGCTCCTCTCCCTGGAGGTAGGGGAGCTGCAGAGGGAGCGGCAAATGCAGTTTTCCCCAAGGCCCCGTTATCGCTCCGAATGAGGCAGCTGATTAATATTAAAGCAGGTAAGTGCTCTAAATCTTGCCACTCTTCCTGAAGCGTGTGTGCTATTAGCGAGATAAACGCAAAACGGCATTCACAAAAAAGAAACAAACACAGCAAAAAAATAACGCAGGCCTGAGCGCTGGGAACAAAGAGTTCCAAACGGTGGGTTGCGATCATGGCAAAGCCATCATGAGTTTAATGAACATTGTAGTTGGAGCCATCAGCTTGTCAGGATGGAAATGAGCAGCAGGTCCAGGGAGAGCCGAGCTCCAGGAGCGCTTCGCTCGGCATGGCAAGCGCCCCGCAGCCCCTCACCCTCACCGCGCCCAGCCCTTGCCCCCTGCTGCTGGTTCCTCCCTCCCGGGTTTACCCCCCACTCCTGGCCCCAATGCATGACCCGGCTCCTTGCGGGGCGATCCTGGGTGAAGCTTTGCTTTCGCACCGGCACAGCTCCCCTCCGCTGCCGCCCCCAGACCTCCGCCCAGGCAGCTCGGGGTCCCAGTGCTTCCCCCAGCTGCTGCCCCCAGCCCTCCAGCTGCTCAGCCCCCACTGGCTGCGTCACCCCACAGCACGCCCCAGCCTCCATTTTTTTTTCAGGTTTTACCAGGTGGATTTTTCCCTTTTTTGCTTTTCATTTACCAAGTTTCCCTGCAGGCAGGGCGCACGGCGTTACTGCTTTATGGCTCACCATGCGACTTTTTCGCTTTTTGGCCAAATAAAGTGAGGGTTTTGTTCAGGAATGTTATTTTTTTATTGGCAGGAGGGAGAAAACGAACTCCCTGCTATCAAAAAAAAAAGTCACTTCTTAGAAACAGATGGATATAGGTGTTCGACCACCCCCAGCACGCCGCGCCCTCAGAAGGCACAGCAAGCCCAGCCCGTCCGTGTGCTCACCCGGCCGCCAAGGCGTTTGCTCCGTCCTGCTGCCGCCCCGGGGCGGTGGGGAGGCTGCTGGGTGCCCGGCCCCACGGCACACCGGTCCCTTGGGCTCACATCTGCCACACACACCCCGGGCTCCAGGCTCAAACCCAAACTGAAGGTCTCGGTAAATTCCGATGCCGGTTTTGTTGCAGTTACTCACCTATGGCAGAAACCTGTTCCAAGCGAGATGCGTTTCCTTGGCGCCAACTGCGGGAGCTCCTGCTCCAGTGGAACCTGTGCCACGGTGCCAGGTGAGCAGCACCGTGCGTATCACGGCAAGGAGGGGTGGGGGAGCTCACAGACCCTTTTCAGCATCTATGCCGAGACACCCCAACCTCAGCCAGGAGCCAGGGTGGGAGTTTGAGACACCAGTGGGGATTTACAGTAAATAGATGGGAAACAAGAGCTCGTCGGCTGCTGGAGGAGGGAAGCAGACAGCCGACAGAAAAGGCAGCACGGGATGAAGAGCTTTGTCAGTTTTGAGCGTACGACAGCTCAGCCCCGAGAACGTGCCCCAGCACCTCAAGCAGAGGGGACTGGAGGTGCCTTCGCGCTGCTCAGGTGCGTGGGCACCATCTCAGCTCAGCCCTGCTGCCCTCGGGGATTTGTCCTGTACATCCATCACCTCCTCAGACACCTCCCTGCCTCCTAAAGCCAGCGCCTGGCTCCCAGCCCCTCTCCTCTCCCTTCAGCTCCCACACACTGCACTTGCTGGGTTTTGCCAACTCCTGTCGCAGGTGCAGCCGTGCCCAGTGGCCGAGGGGTGACCAAGCCCCTGTGTCCCCTCTTCAGCATCTCCCCCTGCCCAGCCCTTTCTGAAGGCCAACGCCGCCAAAGCTCCCCCTGTCCAGGTCTCAAGAAGAATACTACGAGTAAGTTAAATCATTCAAACCACTGTGATTGCAGTCAGTGAAAGTTTAAACATTTGAACAATTACATAAAGCTTATGAACAGGGAGTTTTCTCACTTTTTTGAGCGATTAGGGGATTGTCTTTATGCCTGGAGAGCAGTGAACAGACACACTGTCTTACAGGTGGTCTGAGAAGGGACATCAGACCCAGTCAGTTCATTGTCTGTATCTGAAAATGTTTGTCTTGGTGTGTCAATACACATCAGGAAGAAACATGCAGACACAGAGAGAAAAAAAAAGGCAAGTTATTTCTGAAAAAAACTCGATGGGTGAAGTTAATTGCCCCTGGGATTGTCCCGTACGTTCGGTACCGTGACACTGCCCACGCTGCCCGGGGAACAGTCCCATCCCATCCCCGTGTCCCAGTCCCTCGCTTCAGGCCGTCCTGAGGGACCACAGTTACTCGGACCTCCCTGCGATCGGCGGCTGCTCCCAGGGGAAAGGCAGGGACCCCCGTTAGCAGCAGGACAACCAGGGAATGACCCCCACGGGACACGGCACTGAAGGCCTCCAAAGCCAGAGCTGCTCGCACCGGTCTGCAGCCGGAGCAGGGCTCTGCCCTGCCCAGCGGGGCTGTTCTCCAGCAGCCCTGGGGACCAGCCCAGAGGGTCCTGCCACCTCCAGTGAGAGCCAGGCCATCCCACCGCCCTGGGTCACAAAATGTGCCCAGGAGAAGTCTTAACCCATCTCTCTCTGGCACCCAGCAGTCAGCAGCAGCTCAGGCTTTGAAGAAGAGACCGGGTTCTATCGGACTTTCATCGTTCATGGACTGCTTCTGCTTCGGGGGTGGGGGGGACGCAAACACTTTCCATTCCGATTCCTAAATCCAGAGTGATGTAAGAGTAAAAATGCTGGTCCTAAAACTGACACAGCAGTTCAAAGAGAAGTAATTTGATAATTTCCTCAGGCACCCAAAGCAGCAACTCAACATAAATAAATACGCTAATGAGCGTCTTTAGTCTTGGCCATTACATTTCATAAACATTTTCTGCTCAGTATTCAGAGCCCAAATTCACAAGAGTCAGCTAACTGAAATAAGAAGGATGGAGGGAATTGTTCTGTTCCGCTGTGCCCACACAACACAGCCACCTCCTAAGGACTGAGGCACGGCTCGTTCATCACCGAGCCCGGGCTGGCACCTCCACAGCGCTCACCGGCAGCACCAGCCCCGGCAGCAAAGGCTCGTGGGGTCACGCTGCCAGCGAGCTGGCGCGTGGCCGCAGCTGAGCTGGGCTGTTGAGCTTCGAGCAGGCTGGCTGAGACCACCCAATACTGAAATAAGCAGGCCCGCAGCACTCAGGCATAGTACAAGGAAGAGCCCACCGAGAGTTCACACCACATTTGAGACAATAAAACAAAACCCACCCTGAAAAACCTACACAAAGCCAACTGTTTCGCTTTAGGGCAACCAAATAATGGGTTCAAATCTCCACAAAGAACAAACGCCAACTTTAATGGGGCCATTTGTAAAGCGCAGTATTACCCGAACTCAGTATCAAAGATGGTTTGTGCTTATCTGAATTTTAAATGAAAATTTAAAATAAAACTATCCTGATGGGGGCGTGGAACGAAAGGAGGACAAGAGTATGAGATGCTCTTTGTCGGGAACTTTACTTGCACTAGGTAATTCCCCTCCAGGTTTCTTCTTCTATTCAGAAGGAGAGAAATACTCACTGAAAGAAACCAAATATATGCAAAACTTCTACTGAGGCATGAGGCAGCTGAAAATAATCACATTTTCAGGGGTGTAATAACGAAATATTCCCAACACAGCAATCAGAACTGAAGTAACGCGAGGCTCCAAGGGGGAGCAGCAACCCCGCTGAGCTTCATCGCTGCAGAGCGAAGCCCCCACCCTGCCGAATGAAGGCGCGGATCGAAGGGCAGGCAGGGCGTGCTCGCGCCTCCCATGGCAAGGCACAAAGCAAGGGCCCGGCTAGGCAAGGGGCTCCTCGTGGCCACAAGGGCTGGTCTGGTTTTGCTATTCTGTGTCCCCTTACCGAGCTCTCAGCCTCTTGAGGCTACAGCACCGATCCACAGGAAGACCCTGTTTCCACGCTTACACTCATCCTCCGTGATTTTCACAATCAACGTTCCTGCAAGTCACACAATTTCTTAACCTTTTGTAGAAGATCTGCAGTCTGTGGGGGTCTTTTCTTCCAGCCGCGCACATCAAATGGTCTTTGCTCAATACCATGGTACCAGTGAGGTTCAGCCAACAGCCACGGAATTCCAAAGGCAATAAAGGGTCGTGGTGCCGAGGAAACTCTGCACAAATACATCTTCTCCTGCAAAAGCAGAGAAAAGACGTTTTAGAAGAACATTCATTAGGAAGTAATCAATAGCCATTTGCTCTTGTTCTGAAGCTAATTTAAGACTTGACCCAATCTTCCCTCCACAGACAACCCTTGAAGATACTACTTTTGAGTAAAAATCCTTAGATAGAGCCAATGTCTTATTTTACTAAGACTATCGCACTCGTGATACATTAACAGAGAGGAGAGGATGAAACACAAGACACAGCAGCCCTCTTAACCAACATACCATCCAGAAACCCTGCAACAGTATTAAGCCTAACACTGCAGTAGACCATTATTCTTCTCAAAAATTCCTCAAAAGTCAGATGCTATTTATAATGGACAAAACCCCCATTCATTTGTAGCTCTACAAGGAGCACAATGTGCAATAGGTATCACAAACTCTGGACAACTCTTGCTTGTCTGTAGACAGAGGTTGCACTTACAACTGCTCAGTAAGAGCACCATCACCCACGCTGCTCCTGAAGAAGTGTCTCCATTATTTTAATACCCTGGAAAAAAAGCACAAAAAAATGCCAGTTTCACACACAACTTAAGGATTTCGCACATCAGAAAGGGCACCCCACAACACACCAGTAAAGCTTTCAGAAAAAGCAATCGCATTTTACATCCCGCACTAAGTCAGCGCGGTTCTCCCCACCGCCCAGGAGGCTGCTCGGGGGGCCTGGGCAGGACAAAGGACCCTCCGCAGCGTGCAAGCTCCGCCAGGTCAAGGCGGCACGAAGCCAGGGCACCTGATCAGGTCACACATTTCATTCCAGTTCTGCCACTGCTCTGCTTGGACAAAGCCACTTCTCATCCCTGCACCGTGGTATATCCCTCTTTCAAATGGGAACACCATCCCTTGTGATCTTCAGAAGCAACCGGGCGTGCGAGGGTGAAACCTCCCCATAAAAGCCAGCCCAGTTATTTCTGTAACGAACAAAAGCAATGCTGAAAAGAAGTAAAGAATGCCCTCAGAGGAGCACGACGGTATTTCTTCTCCAGGACTGATCTGTGAAGGAAGCAGGAAGCACCAAACAATGAACTATTCATTAAAGCAAAATGTAGGTTGAATCCAGGGGTTCCATTTGTCGGGGGTCTCCCTGCAGCCGAGCCCGCGGGGCTCGCCAACCACTGAGCTACCCAGAGCAGGGCACCCAGTGGGAAAATGGAGGGAAGCTTTCAGTCAGGGCTACAGACTGCTCCACCCCCAGGCACTCTGCAACGAAGCTCGAGGTTCAGCACAAAGCGAGACAGAAGCAGGTTCCTATTTGGTGAAAGGCAAAACCCACTCGCTTCAGACAGGAGGACTCACACATCCCTCCCTCTCCCCCTTCTCGGCTCTGTGTACTGAAACTGGTGATTCACCACCCCTGCCTCCAACATTTGGTCAGATCTTGGGCAGAGGCAAGCCTGGAGCTTAGCTACAGCCTGCGTGGGGCCAGGGCTTACCCTGGTGTGCTCTCTGTCTGTCAAGACAAAAGAAAAAGGATTTCTCAGTTTGGGTCACTGTGAGAGGAGGTAAAAAAAGACAATTAACAAATAGGTCAAGAGAATTGCTTTTCATATCTCTAAAAAAAAAAAAAAAAAAAAAAAAACAAAATAACAAAATATAAAGTATCTATAAAAACCAGTTCATCTTCCATGCCACCTACGTTGCCCTGTAGAGGCAATAAGCTGTCTACCTTAGTCTATCTGTCTAAATTGGACATGCCACTGTTTACAGAATGAAGCACTAATTGACATAAGTGAAGACTCAGAGGATCGCCTAGGGAATTGAAAAACGTTCCTTATTGAACCAATTATTTGCACAGTGTGACTGCTGCTTTTTCTTGTACTCCTCCCTGGAGCACTACAGACTTTTAGGCAAAGTGGTGCTGAGGAAGAAAAGGGGAATGCGAGGGGACTCCATTAAGTGAATAAAATACAAAAGGGCAGGTATAAGTCATTACCCAGTATCTTTTCAGCAAGGAACGACTAAATCAAAGCCTAATCAATATATTCCTTTCAACTAAAGTTCAAACACTTAAATCTCAGCCCCAGGAGATCAGGCTTGAAGGAGCTAAATTTACACTGCCTCGAGTGCAGTGATGCACTTGAAATGCAGAACAAACACTGCTGCCCATTAAACTCTGCACCTCGACAGCTGCAGCTCAAAAGCTCCTCTGACGGACAAGCCACAGAACCGTTTATTTCTCAGCGGTGGAGGGACTCTGCCGTCCTGCCCGCCATGTCACACACAGCCCTCACCGGTGCCACACCCAAGGCGCCCGAAGGGACAGGAGCCCAGCACGTTCCCAGCTCAGAACAGCCACGGGCGACTCCTCCAGCCAGCGCCGCTTTGTCACCGCAGCCTGTAGGCTGAGGCCACAGGGGGCACAGTGACCCGGCCGCGGGGTGACAGCGAAACAGGAGTCCAAGGAGCTCCCAGCACCATCGACTTGTTGGACGGCCAAGGTTTGCAGCCAGAGTGCCTGCCAGGAGCCCGGCTGGCTGCCGGGGACAGGGACCCATCGCGCTGTAACGCGCTCCGCATCTTCGCCAACACTGTCAGTTTTAAACGAGAAGAGAAGTGACGGACAGGAGAGTATAAAGGGCCTGTTTGGTAACGGGAACACACACTGCTGTGCACACCCCACCTCCATCACCAGTGCAAGAGCAGGGTAGCGTTTTAACAGACCAGCAGAAAATGTTATGCTGTCTCTGGGAAGAGCACCTGACACCTTTCATTCTTTTTGTAACCGTGACAAAACCTTTTCCAGTTAAATACTTGTTATTTGAGCTCAGCTCCAGCATTTAACAAACACTACATCGTGCCTTCGCTTTCCATCTCCTTATACAGTCAAGTCGAGCAACAGGAATCTAGAAAAGAAGCCAACGAGTGAGAAGGACAGAAACGCTGCAACATTTCAGAGGCAACGGATAAAACCTCTACCAACACAACAGAAGTTTCTACAAATGCTCCTTTATCATGTAGCCTTAAAATTCCTCAGAACTCCGTCACCAGCACTGCTTCACACGGGCAGGGATCATCGTAACTTAGACACGTACAACTCATTAGGCCCCTCTTTAAACAAATTTGAAAAACTCACACGCCCCCAAAGGCTAATGTCAGGGCCATCACTACCCCTCCTAGGCTGGAACTTCTGTCAGGCTTTGCTTGCAGACCACGGAGCACCCCCTCCCCTCTCCGAAGGATGCCAGGTTCGCACCAACAGACCCAGAATGGGCTGTGCTGGGAGCTGGGATTTACCAGCACACCTGCTCAGACTTTGAGTCATTCAGGAGGAAAGTTTTCTTGGCAGTAACATGGGCATACATCTTTCATTAAGACCTTTTCTGAAGAGGTAAGAAAAAAAATAATCATGAATGCTGTAATTTCCACCCAAATGCACTATGACTTCTACAAACAGAAGCAGGGCAGAACAACTTTATCTCTTATATTTTTCTTCAGAGCTGGAATAAAATAAGGGAAATGTGACAAATACAAGGAGCCATAAAATGTCACTGTCATTCTGTTAGGCATTAAAAAAGCCGCCCACAGAAAAGGCTCATATCACAGTTACAAAAATAGTGATTAAAAAGATCGGTGCCCTTGGTGTCCGTGAGCAGTTTTGTGAACAGTAACTTTTCCCCCTCTTTCTATAAAATATTTAATACTGACTGTGTGAATACATCAGCCTTACTGTAGCCATTCACAAAATCTAATATTCAGGCAGTATTTCCTCCTGCTCTCCATGTGGCTCATCCCCTCCTCTACCTCCTCTGCCCCCTCCCGCCGCTGCCTCGCTCCCCTGTCTCGTCTGAGCCTCTCCCACCAGACGGACGGAGCAGCGCTACTGTCAGGATCGAGGAGATAAAGCCAGAATCGCACTTTAGCTTTGAAAGCACCATCCTTATGTATCCCAGCCACTTATACCAGATGCCAGGAAAGCCATGCCCTTTGGTCGGGCCACAGGAAGGGTGCAGATCAGGTACTGCAAGGTAAGAAGTAAACAGAAGCCCAGGAAGCATTTATCAAGCATCGCCATTCACGCCACATACACTCAGAAGTTTAAATACCGCCTCTGTACTGCCATTTATTACAGTTGGGTAAAATGTCCCTCAAAACTACTCCATGGCCAAGCCACAGCCGGATCCCTGTCTAACAGCTCAGCAGAAATGAGATGCACAGATACAGCTGCTGCCTTGGGGAGACGGACGTTTCGGAGGCAGGAGGAAAAACCACCCAGACTGTATGTTTATACCAGATCTGGTGCGCTTGTATTTTTATTTCTCACAGATCTGCAGACGCGGCCAAAATCACTAAAGGATTTCTACTGCAGCACTGTAGAGATCCTGCGAGCCAGTTTGTTTTACCCGCGGGCGCTGCACTGTCCTAAGCCGGCAGGACGCGTTTCACTGCCCTCGGCCACTGCTTACACGAGCACAGCTGTCAGCTTCTCTCTTTTTTTTCTTTCTTTTAAAGCCACAACAAAAAGATCTTACAGCTACCCAGAATAAGCAAACCAATAAATGGCCGTGCCATCCGAAATACACGTCCATCTCCATCTCCTGATTCCCCAGTCAGCTTCTGAAGCACGAAGGAGAGGTCAGGGCTGTTGGCCCCGGCGCCAGCGGGGAGGAGTGTCCGAAGGGGCTACAGGTGCTGCCCAGGCTCCACGCTCCAACACCCGCCGCCCTCAGCAGGAGAAGAGACAGGACACTGCTAAGGCCACTTAAAAACCAAACCAAACCCAAAGAAAATTTCAACAGTAGCAACCACTTGGTCCCCATAGATTAATTACAGAATGGCATAAGGCATGATCTGAACCGTGGACATCCAAGTTCATCTGAAAAAGAAATTTCTCCATTAGACAACTAAAAAATGATAAATAATGGTAAACACAGGTTTATCATAGTCTTGTAGTGCATCATTAGCTCAGCCATGAAAATGCCAGGTTTTCAGGCACATACACACGCTTTCACTCATCTGAAACAAGATATAAACTGGAAGGGGGAAAAAGGAAATGAAAAGAAAAAGGCAAAGAACCTCTCTTATTTTCTCCTTAAAAAGGTTTAACTAAATATTCCTTCCTTCTCCTTCTTGCTCCTTTTTCAGCAGGGGTATATTTTTATTAAACAGTCTGCACAGCACAACCTGAACCCCCAGATCTCTTCAAGGCACAAACTTCCAGAGAACAAGACTTCCATGGAACTTCATTTCCCAGGGAACACTTCAGGAGACGCTGCTGCTAAACCTGGTTTATCAATATGACATGACTCCCCAAAACCAAAGGCCTTTGAACACCAGCTCCCTCGGGATGCTCTGCGGGATAGCCGGATAGCTTTTACCCTCTTTCGTAATTCTTACTGAAAGACAGAGCGATTGGAGTGTACAGAACTGCTACAGGGAGACTGACTGTGGCTATTGTAAATACATCAAGCTGCCAGAAAAAAAAATAAAAATCTAACATTACTGGAGAAAAATGCGTGACGTGATACAAATTCATGTTGACTACTTTTGATTATTTCAGTGTAAAGGTGCTATAGAACCACAAATTATTATTACAGTATCAGTGGGACAATGAGGCATTAGGAAGAACTGTTTCAAAGCCTGGGGGAAATCCGGAATAAGAATGAATTACAGAAACTGATACAGTCATACACGCCATGTTTTAAAATGTATTTGAAATAAAACCATTACCACAATAAAACTAAATCCATTTTTGTTCTGCTCATTCTCTGTAGACAAAAGAAAAGGTCAAACATTTTTTCAACAATTAAAAGATGTAAAGAATCCAGACTTAAAACATCAATTTAATTTTGAGCTCAGATGATCTGGTGATTTCAAAATATTTAGACTGTAACTTGGGAAGAAATTCAAGTAATAAATCACTTACCTTCTTCACACCTTGTTTTAAAAACGATTGAGCAAAAGCTTCCAACACCCAGTTGAGCAAACCTGCCCCCGTAACTGAAATTCTGCCTTTTTGTGTGAAGTCTGTCCTAAGGAACAGAACAGAACACCTTCTTACTGTTCTGTGCGCTTCGAGACGGCTCAGTGCAAGCTCTGCGTTAGAGTCGGGGTCGACACTCGAGCAAGGGACTCCTCTCGTACATTCTCCTATTTTGCATGTCAGTCTCAAAGGCCAACAGAACGAGACACAGGAGCGTCAGTGTAACGAGAGGTTTGTCACGGCCGTCTCCCACGGCCAGCGCTGCTGAAGGTGCAGCTGGACTCTGCCCCATGCGCTGCCCGGAGAAACCCAAAGAGCAGCAACACAGAGAGGTCTGGAGGGGACACAACAGCCGCCTCCAGAATCAGGGAAGTCAACGGCAGACACAGAAAAACCCGCGTGTACGACTCTGTCGAGTCCTCAGGACATCATCCCGCCCAAGCGAGCCAGAGGCAGCGGTAACGGCGAGGAGAGGACCCCGCTCCCACCCCCGCAGCGATGGGCCACAGCCATTTACTACTTCTGCGCAGTTCAGTAAGACAACAAACACGTGGAGTTCAAGTGAAGGAGCTGGAGAACATGAGGAGCATCCCCCACCACGGGATGGACGTCAGCAGTGAAAATCTCCCGCTGAACTCAGCTGCTCCAAGTCGGGGATTTCTTTATTCATTTTGCAGCTTCACCATTGCAGGGGACAGAAAAGGGAGGCACAAGATAAATATTGATCTCTGATTTCTGTAGCACGCAGCTGGCAATGCTGCATCGCTACAACACTGTCACGGGGAGAAGTCTATTAATGAGATCCAACTACTAAATTATTGACTAGTTCAGTACAGCAAATTTGGTCTAATTGTTTTCACGATGGGAGTTTAATTAAAGTGTCTTTAGCATAAAAAGTCTAACAATTCTTGTTCAGATAGTGTCAGGGAGAGTTTCCAAAGCCTGCATGGCTTTCAAAACTAAATTAAAAGTTACATCAAACACAAGGCTCTTCAAAGGAGGAAGCTTTTGTACGGGAGATCTTTTCAATTCCCATCTGCAGCTGACGAGCGCTGCTCGTGCATCATGTGCATCTCTCCACACCAGGGAGACATCTTCTCACCCTGCGCCCACTGCGCCGCGAGAGACTGCGGCTCCCTCGGGCTGTACGAAATGAGGGATAGGTAATACAGGGAATAATGCTGGGTAATAAAGGGAACCCGATGGCAACTGAGGGATGCAAAAGGAAAAAGCAAAGAACTGCTCCTGCTGGGGAGGGGGAAAGAAGTCAAACGAAAACACAGAAGGACACTGGAGACAAAATTCAAGCTACACAGGGGCTCTCCACTGTGGAAAGACAGTACAACCTTCCAGACACATGGACATTCGCCAGTACACAACTTCAACATCAGTCCAGGCAGTTACAGGGGAGTTCTGCCACTGACTTTCCCCCTTGGTTTGGCCCTGTGCACAGACAGCTCTTCCCAGAGCCCTCCCTGTCAACATGGACACGGCCCAGCTCAGCCGGGCAGAAAGCAAGCTCGTACCCACCGTACAGAACGCACACTTTTAGGGTAAGCACGAGAGAATTACTCTAGAAATTGTCCCTAACGCAAACCCATATGCATGCGAGTGGAGGGGAGCAGCTCACAAGATTTGGGCTGGTTTGATACAGCAGCAGTGAAAGCCCCGGAGCCCTCCAGAGCCACAGCTGTGCCGGTGAACGCTGGGGCAGCACCGGCCAGCCGCCCCGCACCCCTGCAGGCAAACACCGCTCGGTCTGGTCCCACCCTGCCTGCAGCTGTGCCTGCGGCCAGGCCTGGCCCGCGGGGACTAAGTGGCTCTCTGGACTTTAGACACCAAGATGAGATGCTTGTCTGTAACAGCAATTAAATCACAGAAACCAAATAAAAAGTGCGAGGAAGGAGTTCAGCCAAGAGGGTAACACAGGTGCTTTCTGGCCTCTGAATATACAGATATGCCTCATCATGCCTCTTTCAGCAGTTTATACTTTATTTATGGTAATGCTTGTTTGCTACTACACCTTTTCAGACATTTATACGCTCTGCTTAGAAGCGCCCACAACAATTAATTTCACAAGAACATGGAGCAGCTGGCACCACTGCATCCATGTGTATTTAGGACAGCAAAACTACCTGACATTACGGGGAAGAACTACGCTGTGGTTCAATTGACTGTTTGGGACTAAGCAAGCACCGCTTCAATTCCCCCAGTTCCATTAGGGACATCGGGAAGGTCACAGCCTCCCTTCCCTGACTCATGGTTCTCTAGCTGAAAATAATAAAGGACGTAACTGCCCATCTCAGACTGGGTAAACTAACCTACATCCTATGGACAAGATCCTGCTAAACGTCTAAGCCACCGGTCCCTGCAGGGACTGGATTTGTCATCTGATTTCCTACAGCATACTGGTCTCAAAGCACCTGGGCTGAAGTCAGCACAGACAGTTGTCACTTCATCTGACAGGGGCAGAAATATTCTGAATTCCCACCAGCATCACCCCACCACGCGTGCCTGGGACCAGGCAGCAGCTCTGTCACCAACCCCCTGTCAGGAGATCTCCTGGCAGAGGCACAGGGCAGGGCTGCGGGTGCCACGGCTGTAACGCACCCCGGTGATCGCCTTTGGCCACTGCCCTGGCGCCTCCCGAGCCACCGGCTCCCTGCCGGGCCAGGAGCGGGCAGTGCCCGACGTGGAGCCCATTGCACACCAAGAGCGCGGGGAGGGATGAAGGCAGTCGACCTGCTCGGGCGGCTGATGGAGATGCCAGACTGCAAACCAGCCTCTGCTTTTGTGGACCTGCGCCCTGATTAAACAAACGAACAGCCTGCTACAACGCACGCACAGCACCTGGCTGAGGTGCAGGATTTTCTCATTCTCTTCACCTTTTTAGTGCCCTGCAGAGTTTCAGGAGGTTGCTATTGAAATCTGCCCAGCGGTGCTTAGTAGGGGAGAAAGCCAAGTTTCTGCCTGTGCTCAGGTCACCATCGCTCTTGTAATGTCGTTCTCTCTTTAGAGGCATAATGTACAATTTTCCCACTAATCAGGATCGCTTGAGTCTCCTCATTGTGTGTTTTCTTACTTCTCTCCAGCACAACAGAATGCTGCTAACATTCTGCCCTTTGCGTCATCCCTTCACCTATTCACACACAAATGTCACCGTACGTATTCCACGTGCAGCTGAAATTTCACGCCCATTTTGCCACCAGCGTTTGTCAGATCCGGCTGCCTCCATCGACTCCCGAAGGGGTGACAGAGGCGTGCGCTGGCACACCCAGGTATCCGTGAACCTGCCTGGCCAGGGCAGCACAGCTGAGGCCCGCGGGCCCCTGCCGCTGCTGACCCACCCCGGCAGGCACCCAGAGGCCCTGCAAGTGAACCTGCCGAGGCTGCAGCCTCACCTCGGCAGCGCAGCTACGCTGTGCTGCACCGACCGCCACAGGACGCTCTGAGGTAGGAGTGAGCAGCGGTGACGCCGAGCTGGGACAACTCCCCTGCCCACGCCTGCAGGAGCAGAGGCAGCGGGCTGAGGAGAGCGTCCTTCCTAAACTGGAACTGAAAAGCCTTGAAAAGGGCACGAGTGACCGGTTGCAGTAGTTAAGAGTTTCTACACCAACAGGACCAGCACCTACAGTAGCAACACAACTCCGATGCGGAGGAAGCCTCAGTAAGGACAGAGGGTCCTAGCAAAATTTTGAAACAAAACAGCTTAAGAACCCAGAGGAACGTGTCCCCAGACAGCAACGTCCCAGCACAGGAGCTTTCAAAATGCCTGAGCCACAAGGAATTTAATTTCATCTGAAGCTGGTGGGGTTTTTTCCTTAAACATCCTTAGAGCTTTCCGAAGTCCCACGGACGTCACCGGACAACCCTGCCACGCCTCCCAGGCAAAAGTAAAAACTAAGTACAAGTGACACCAGAACAAAGAAAGAATTAATGTGGCTGACATCAGCTGAAAATAACTCTTTTTTTAAAGACAGTGACATGTATCACATACCTGCTCATTTCAATGCTACAGAAATTAGAAATTCCACCCTGATCCTGCTGTAAACACGCCTAAGACGTTCCTAGGCTCCACTCTGCACAACCACAAGTGTGGGCTCTCCCAGGCAAAGTCCCACGGCAGCTTACATCGCTGGGGCACCGCGGGCCAAACCGGAGAAAGAAAACTGTTTGGGAACAAGTATGCTCCACGCCAACGGCTGGCAAGCAGGAGGGAGCTGATAATTTTTGAACTGCTGTCCAAGCATCTGTTGGTAGACATGAGAGCAAAGCGAACACTCTGGCTATGCCTGCTGTGCGGGAACAGCGGGGCAGCCTTCTACGGCTGCAGAGCAGCACACAGAAAATTAATTTTCAGCAATTACTTGTGCTCTGGCCAGAGAAGCTAACCTCGCATCTGAACAGGCCAGAGGAAAGCTACAGGATATCTGCAGCTGCTGCTTCAAATGCATTCAAGACATACCAAAGAGATTATTATTCAGACCCCTCTCATTCCAAGCATTCACAAAGCAACAGAAAACCCATTTTCAGGGCCACAGGCCGGCAGCAGCAGCCCTGAGCCGGCACAGGGGCACTGCTACACCCAGAGCCCAGCACTCACCAGTTCGGATTCTCCAGGCTCTCTCTGAAGACAGACTCCTCGCTCAGAGACGCATACTGTGTCCACGTAAGACAATGAGTCCTCATCGCCATATTTCTTTTCTGCATATTAAGCCAAGATTCCTCTTCCAAGTAGATGTCAGGCACTTTCAAGATGCTGACCTGGGAAATAGAAGAATCATAGCTTTTTCAAAAAAAATAAACCAAAGGGTAGAATTACTTCTCAGTATTTTGAAAGTATTACTAGCCTCAGAAGATAAGACTGAGGATTCAGGAGGAGGGCACAACAGCTGTGGTTAGCCCAAATGAGAACACCCAACGTCCTCAGCAGCTACTAAAGGCCATGCAAGTGCTCCAAGGTTTAAGGAAGTTGCCCGGTCCCCAGCCAGACTTCCAAGACCACTGCAGGCCAACTCACCTCCATCACCCTGTCTTACTGCTGACAGCTAATTCATGACGACGAAGGGCAAGAGAAGCCATTTCCAGACAGTCACATGTGAGGCAGCCAAACCTGCCGGATAAACACGAGGGCAGGAGCAGGGCTGGCAGCTCTGCTCCAGTTCCTTTCTCCCAGGAGGCCTCCTCCTCTGAGAGCCCACCTGCCAACCTGAGGGACCTGGATCTAGCGAGCGTGGGCCAAAGAAGGGATGAGAATCTCACCACTGGTTTATTTACACTCTGCCTGTATGGGGCAATGACATGTTCTCCTTGGCAGGTGAGGCTTGGAGGAGTCAAACACACGTTTAGAGGCAAAAACGTCAGCACCAGCAAAAGAGGACACACACCCTTTTCAGCACGCAGGCTGTGAAACAGCACAGCTATGCCCTCACGCAGGAATATACGTGGACTTTTCTGCATACAGACTATCTGCTGCAAGATACGCTGCAAAAAACCAAGGCTAATTCTCCTCCCAGAACACTCCGTGAAGAAAGGACTGTCACTAAAAGAGAGACAGGAGAGAAACACTAAGGGACTGCACAACCCAGGACCTTACACTGTCTACAGCCTCATCTTATCTTCTTTATAGGGACCCTGTGATGCCATGTTTAACTTGCAACATGCTACAGGCACATTAAGCATTGTTTTAATTCCCTCTGAATTCACTTACCAAATGGCTTTGTGAGAGATTACAACCCCATGTGTGCAGGAGCCATGGATCAGACATCCAAAATACCTGAGCTCAGCTTAGAAGTAATTACCCAGTGTTCATTACTAGCTGCTGCCTTCTTCCTGAGACCTCTGAGACTGGACTTTTTTAAAAATATCATCTACCACACAAAAATCACGAGCATTGTCAGCAACAAGATGTTTATATTGGGGTGTGGGGAATGGCTGTACTTTAACTGTGGCCCACGCAACATTTTAAACAGCTTTGTTTTTTCCAGGTCCAAAAGTTAAAAGCCCAACCACCACCACCAGTTACATCTTAGGGTGCTCAATGCTACAATTTCATCCATTCAAGTTAAAAGTAAAATCAGTTCCTAGAGAATTTTTTTCTCTCAACTTCTCTTTAAAAGTAACTTTACTAATTTAAAAAAGAAAAAAAAAACATTGGGAAATGTCATCCTTTTAAACAAGATAAACCACAGCGAAGCATTAAGGTTTTACAACTTGACTACATTTCTCTACGCCGTTACCTTTCTTAAAATTTCAGGAATTACATTCTGGCACCTTGCAATTCTCCTCCGGTAAATAATCCCCGTAGACAAATCTGGTGATGAAAGAAAATCAAAGGGAAGAGTTACAGCAGCAAATATTACCATTTTTTTAATAAAAACAAAGTAGTTGGAAGACTTCACAGCACAGCAAATATGCGAGCAGAAATGCCAGCAAACTAACAAGAGCACTGGAGGGGTGGGTTTCGTTCAGGGTTTTTTGCAGGTTTGTTTTTTTTTGGTGGTGGTGGTGGTTTGTTTGTTTTTTAAAGTATAACTCAGTACTTGTGCTGCTCTGCCAGGCAGAGGGCCGTACGTAAGGTTGCTACGGGCATCCTGCGCCCTGCCTCAGGAGGGGGGCACCTGCACCCACCACTGCAACCCAGCCCCCCGCACCCAGCGTGCGGGACAAACATTTTCCTGGCATTCACCGCGGTGCTCCTGGGCAGCAAAGCCCCGCAGGCAGTGCCAGTGCCAGGCGTGGGTGCGCCCAGGGCTCCCTCCCACTGCCCGGGCAGGGTCTGGCAGGACCCACCGGAGAGCCCTGCTGCGAGCTGGACGATGCCTGGCGGGGAGAGAAAAGCTCGGGCAGCCGAGCTGCCAGACCAGCATACAGAGTGAAGCTTTAGTTTATTCCTGTCCCCACCCCAATTTATATTCTCAGGCTCATTCTCTGGGCAAACACACTGTGCACGAGATTTACAGAACAGTCCTGTCTCATCACACATTTATTTTTGTATTGAGTTGGACCCAGTGACAAGGGCAAAACTATCTATTAGGAAACAAATTACAGTTATTTAGCATCTCCAAAAAATGGCTGGCTTTTAGAATCCCTTTGCCTTTTAATATTTAATGACCCAGATCAAGAACAGAACGCTACCGAGCAAGAAGCCAACTGGCAGGCGGCCCAGGTTAAAGACTTCTCCAGGATAAAAGAGTACCTTCTCGAACAGTTGCATTGGTGGGATCGGCGAAATGAAAACTTCACGGGGTTTGGTTTTCAGAACTCTAACAAACACATCACACTAATAATACGAAGCATCTCCATGCAACGTAGAGCAGAAAAGCATTCTCCAGAAAGAGTGGTTTACTGCACTCGGAGAAAACAGCAATGGCAGCACTACTGCTCGGCTTTCCTGGCTCTCTGGGCAACCTCACTGACAACTTGCTTAGAAAGAGAGCATGAGTCTGGAATTAAGATCCACCGTCAAACCTGAGCTGCAAGACAGAAGACATCTCTAAACGTCTGACAAAGGCTTTAGGGACTATAACTTTAGGGATAACAGTATTTGGTAATAAAAGTTTTAAATCTGTAAGATTTAAATGAAATAATCTTATTTCATCCCAAACGAGCGTTTGATCCCAGTTCCCACACTAGGAAGAACGGTGGTTATTTCCACGCAAAGTCCTATCGTACTCGTTTCCCATGTGGTGGCACAACTGTTTCACACATCCGCCGCCCAGGCGCGTTACCTTAAGTGCCTCATCGCAGGCACGTCCTGCCAGCTCAGCAACTGGAGAACAAAAATCCACCTGGTATCAGCAGACCTGATTCAACAACTGCGGATTTATTTTCCCATCAACACGACTGGGAAATGGTAACATCCGATTTTTGGTGTTTCAGGAATTCTGAGTGACAAAGTGAGAGACTGAGGATCTGTGACCGCTTTCTGACTGTCAGCATCCCACTAGGCCACCGCGCAGGTCTCCGACTCCTGGAACCACTCCTCATGCGGGAAGTGAAACAGCAGCGACCCTCCGAAGGCACGGACCATGCAAGCCAAGTAGGGCGATGCCTGTGGAGCGCCCGAGGCTCGATCCACACAGCTCACTGTGCTTCCTTCCAGTGGCCTCACACCTGACCTGCAGAGCACTGCAGGTGGCAATCCTCTCAGAAACGCCAAGGAACCGTACAACAGAACACCCTTCTGCAGAGAAACCAGGTGGAATGTGTCTCATGGCCCCAGAATAAGCTGAAAATTCAAATACCTAATGCAGTTAAAACTCAGGCTTTGGCAGGGATGCAGTACTTTCCTGGCCTTGCTAACACAACGGCCAGCATGCAGGAAGCCCAGGCATGTGTGCAGCGCCCAGCTTCTATGGAAATATAGCTATTACATCATTAATTGTAAAGGTAATGAAAAAGTTTAATTAGCTCTGTAAGAAAAGTCAGGGAGCTTACCTGTTTTCTCTTCCACTGTTTCTACAGCCATGACGTGTTTCTCCATGGGACTGGGATACTGGGATAAAAATGCATAGGGTAAAGATTACCACTTCTCACACGGGTGAAAGAAAACCCCTAGCTGTCACTTGTCAAGTCAGAAGCGGTTCCGCAGCTTCTCTCAACAGGTACAAGCCGCCTGACACTAACAATCTGCAGTCTCCATTCAAGTTAGCAAAAAGGAAGAGTTTAGTAAGATTAGCTTAGTAAGTGAGACTAGAAAACAACCAGACAACCCACAATACTGCTATGGGAAAAACGGCTTGAAGGGGAGATGCTAGCTTGTGCTGCAGCACCCTCCGTGCCACAGAAACCAAGCCGTGAGCTCTTGACCCGCATGCCGCTTTTCAAAGGAGGGCTACACAGAGCCCTCGCCCCGTGGCAGCTCCGTGAGCCAAAGCCCCCTGCAGAGAACAGCAGCATCCCCTGCTGCTGCAGCAAGCTCACTCCTCCTCGCTGCTGCCAAGCCCATTCAGCCACACAATCCACTTCTTCCAGCAAAGGCCGGGAAGGTTCAGCACAGCGTCACCCGAGTGGGGGCTCTGGGACATAACACTCCACTGCCCTGCAAAAGCCGCTAGAAGAGCGTGGCAGCGGGACGTCACTTCGGATCGCAGCGTGGGTCCACCCTGGCAAGAGGCTCTTCTGCTCAGGGGCTGGCCTGCAGCAAGGGCAAGCGATTGTCACTGCCTGTTCCTGCTCAGGGTCACCTCCTTCTCCTTAGGCTGTACAGAGGAGTCACTTCAAGGCTGGGAGAAAAAGACTCTCGCTCCAAGACCCCCACTGGAAAGGAATTATGCCAAAAGTGTACAGGTTGCCTGCAGGGCAACACCCTATGTAAGAAACACGTGCACAAGAACAGGACTTTCAAGGATGAAGAGCCTATTTTGAAACTTAGGAAACTCCTCTGGCTAGAAATGAGACACAGAAGGCTACAAGAACCTCACCCTCCACTGCAAAAAGCAATCAACATTCACCTGAATCACGAAGTCTAAACAGTAAAGTGCAAGATAATTCATCGAACTCGAATAACATTGAAAAGTTACCGTAACCTCCAAGCTAACACAAACGCCAGGCTGAAGAAATACTGACCACCAGACTGACATTAAACAAAACACAAAGCTTTAGGAAAGGTGGGGAAATTGCATTTTAAGGCTAACTCAGTTTAGGTAATGCAATTAGGATGTGCAGTAATAGGTGCTCCACAGTTCTGACATAGAAGAAATCTTGGTTTCTAAGCTAAAAAAAGTCAGCAACTCCAGAACAGGCTGTGCAATAATCCAGCTTTACTATTATTTCCTACTGCAGAATAAAAGTTGATTTTAAAAGTGCAAGGTTTTCAAGTCCTGTCAATACAGAAATTGGAGGCTTCTCCACCACGCGCTGCTTTGAAATAGCAGTAGTGGCATAATTACATTATCGATGTAACTTACTCTCTGTAAGGCCCAATCGTGTGAAACAAAGAGCCATTTACATAAATCTTTTACTAAATAGCAGGCTCTATTACCCCAGTATTTAAACAGAAATAGACTCGATTTCCTACACAGCACAGTAAAAAATAACATTACCAATCTGCAAGCAGACGTAACAGCTAGGAGAGTCTAACAGCCACAAAAAATAGTGTTTCCAGCCAGCCACAGCCTCCCTGCCAGGTTTCCATTCCCCAGGGACGCCAAAGCCAACAGCAGCAGAGAACAAAGAGATCTCAGCCTGGCTGTTATTTCAGCCCCGCAGTAACTCAACCCCCGAACCCTCCTCCCAGCACCAGAGGCACAGGAGTCCCATCCCTGTCTGAAGGGCTCCCACTAGTCCAAGGACTTCAGCCCTGCCCTGCGGTCCCCTGGCTCGGGGGCACAAAAGCCACCCACCCTGGGACACCTCTCTTGCTCAGCAAGAGCACGGGGCAGGCGCTGCCATCCCTGCCAGCAGGCACCCACGACACCGGCTCCACCGTCCTCATCCCCAACTCCTTGTGTTGGCCCATGGAGAGAGTAAGGGCTTCCAAAATTTGGAATGGCCTGAAGAGTGAGAGGTGGCTACTACTGTGCTGCCAACCCGCAGTCGTGCCCAAACGTCGCCGCTCCCCCCACGCGCCGTTCCCGAGAAGCCAACTGCCGGCCGCGCCACCAAGGGCACCCTGCGCCAGGAGAGAGGACTCGGGGTGCCGAGACAGGGACGGGCCGGGGACCTGCTCTCGCCATGCGGCCCTGGGAGCTCTCGAGGCACGGCCACCGCCCCCTTGAAGGGGGCAGCGAGGATGCTGGGGCTGGGCGGGAGCGCAAGGCTGCCAGCGGGAAGGACAAGGTGTCAAGGGGCAGCTCTCCCGCTCGCTGGGAGGGCAGCAGGACAGGCAGGCCGAGGAGCCTCCATCTGAGCTGCTGGGGCAGAAGCGACGTGCCCCGAGCGCCCAAGGCCGTTCTGGTGGCACCTGGCAAGGAGGGAATGCCACCTCGTGGTCCTGCCTGCAAGCGCAGGGCACCGGCCTCGGGTGGGCAGCGGGGCGGGCAGCGGGGCGCTCTGCCTGACCCCCAGCCAAGGCAGAGCAGAGCATGGGCACCGCTCCTCAGACACAGCCCCTGACCCAGCGTGTGCCGCGCTGCCCAAGAGTCCCACCAGGAAGGGACTAACACGACCCTCTCCTCCTTCTGCCAACACCCGAGCGGAGGAGAGCCCCGGCGCTCACCCACTTACTTGATGCAGGAGCAGATCCCATCCCGCTCCCTGCTTGGGCGCAACCTACACGCTGGCCTTCGTTAAACCCTTTCCAGAGCAGAGCCGACCCGCGCCCTGCATCCCAGACTGCACCCGGGGAAGGGAAACTCCAAAAGCTGTAACCAGAATGCTGTATTTTCATGAAAAAGAATGTTATTCAAAGTAGGCACACTTTTTTTTACAAGATTAAACAGTTCCAGTGAGTTCCTGTAGTAAATTTCTTTACAGATTAACCTTCCTATTTTAAAGACACTTCTCCTCCATCACACCAAGAGGACCCCAAACAAATCAGCGACAGCAGAAGCCATGAAGCTGACTTCGCCTTTAAGCTCTCTACAGCTTTGAGATGACTTTTTTCTCCCCTGGCTGCTGGTCCTGAGCATTTCCTGAAGGCGTCAGAGCCCGTCTGACAGATGCCGAGCCGCAAGCGCGGTACCACCAAACAGCTCTTCGGAAGCCCTGAGACCTCCACACCCAGAAACCCCTCAGCACCCCAGCATGGGGGGACCCAAGGGGTTATGGGGTCACCTCTCGCTGCACACCCACTGCAACTGAAGCACTCCATTCTCCACTTGCAAGAAGAATTAAACCTAGATACAGAATTCCTGCGCTCCCATTCGGTCTTCCTGCACTGTATCGATTGTTTTCCACAAATAACAAGAAGCAGAATTGGTTGCATTAGTCATGATTCCGAATCCAGGGAATTAAGACCCCACGCACCTTTCCTAACTGGAATGTGTACGACCATTTATCAAAAGCAGCCGTTCCCGACCACAGCGATGTTTCTCAGAAGTTACCGGAGAGAAACAGCAGCCTCTAAAAGCGGCACTGTGTTTAGCAGCAGAGAGAAATCACTGCAGGTTACACGTAACGATTTCTATAAAAATGAAATATTTCAAAGTAATGAGGGGCTGGTTTTACATGCAAGATCAAATGGAGCCCACATAAATCAAAATGACAGCTTCAAAGACTTGCAAAAAAAAATATTTAAATTCATAAATATTCTTTCTTTTTTAACTGCAAGGCAATGAAGCAGCGACGCTGCAAAATCAGCTAAACCTTTCCAGAGTCCTCCACTTTGTTACTGGTTTGGAAAGGTGGTGGTTGCGAATAAACGTAGATTTTAAAAAAGTCTAGCAAACCCAGCGCACAGACTACTTGCTGTGATAAAGATCAATAAATACAAAAGCCTTTCACGTACAGATAACACCTATTTCAAGTAAAACCAATTTGTCATACTTGAACCAAACGTCTGATTTACAGTTCAGGGGCTCACTTTAAATCGGCACCTGCACTAACCTGAAGGCCAGCCCAGCAGAAACTGCTCTGTTCTAGCAGGCTTGGGCCCCCAGGCACAGGGCCAGACTCCCCTCGACCCCACGAAGCCCGGACAAGCCCGGCTTTCCTGCAGCCTCAGCAAGGCCACAGCTCTGCCTGGGGACCGGCCACGCCAGCCAGGCACATCAGACGGGCAGGACAGAAGCTAACAGCCCTGCTTCCAGCAGGATTCTTCCTCACCGGCATCGCAGCTGTCTCAAAGGTGCACTTGGCGGAAAGGAACAGCCCTTGCAGACCACCGTCCATCGGACCCACCCAACAGGTCCCTCAAGATCGTGCTGTGCCAGCACCTGTCCTCCTGCCCCAGTCACGGAGGGGCCGTTTTCCCTAGAAACACAGGGCACAGGCAGGATACACCTCTGAACCGACACACAAGAACGTACACCCCAGCATCTGAGGTGGCAGGCCGTCCACTGATGACCACCTATTCCTTACTGATCCTGCAAAACGAAAGCAGAGGACATGTCTCTGCGGTAAGAGTACGTTTCTAGAGAAGCTGGGTACAGTTCTGCTGCAGAGGGCAGCGGGGTTTGAAACCTAACCTGAGAGATGCACAGGAGAGAGGGCCAACAAAACAAAAAAAAGCCCACGCTGATGCCTTCCACAGTCCAAGGGACTTCTGTGCTCCACCCAGAGATCACGAACTGCAGCCGACACTCAAGATGCCCCAGTCGAGGCAATGCGTGGGATTTCTGTGAGCCAGGAGATGCCTTCACACAAACGCGCCCTTAAAGAACCCCGACCACTTTGGCTTTGGTCTCCTCGGAGAGCACGTCTGGTGGCACCTCCCCACCCTGTCTGGCAACGTCACAACATTCCGAGGTTCAGCCTGCACAGTCGCGACAGAAAGAACAAGAGCAGGAGCCCTGAAGTCAACCTGAACTGTGGCAGCTACCAGTAACTATGGCAATTATTTTTTCAATCGTATCAAATTCCTGGTTAAAAGCATGTGATGCACTTTGCTGCCACATACAAACG